TTCTTCATCGATAGTTGACAATCTCAACCGATTTTTAGTATTAAATATTGAATATTGTTACAGCGTTAGTGAATAATTTATATATTCTGAAATCATTTTTTCAGCCTTTAAAACTACAGCAAAAATACAAAAATTATTTAAACGACAGTTTAGTCAAATATCTATTATTTTCTGTTAAAAATGAAAATATTTGTTCTTATAGTTTGTAAGATCATTGCAATAAATATTTAATTTCCTAAGCTGATAAATAAAAAAATATTAATTACGTATATGGTTTTCGTTAAATGTTTAAAATAAATACTAACTGAAATCTATCGATTCAAAACATATAAAACTATCAATAAGATTTTTTCACATTACCGCCTATCGATATCGATAAGGAAAAAACATTGTGTAGAATTTCACGAAACCGGCAAACGACTTAGGTGAAATGGCTGATAAAAAGGTAAAGTCGAAATAAACATGCCGAGCGTGTATTAAAACTAAGTGCTTTTTAGACAGGAGGCAACAATGATGGGAAGGAAAAGCGCCGAAAGGAGTCGATTTTGGATCTATCTAAATACCTGGAGAAACAAATACGTGTGAAATTCGCGGGAGGCCGCGAGGCGTCTGGGATACTGAAAGGTTACGATGCGCTATTAAATCTGGTGCTAGACAATACCGTTGAGTACCTAAGAGATTCAGACGAACCCTACAAACTCACAGAGGATTCCACACGAAGTCTCGGCCTGGTCGTATGCCGAGGCACGGCGCTGGTGCTCATCTGTCCACAAGATGGAGTCGAGAGCATAGCCAATCCCTTTATTACGCAGTAAATGGATAGAAAGAATATGCTGTCTGGTCTAGGCTAAGTACACATTTTGGTTGATAAAAACGTTTTGTATACATATTTAAAATAATGAAATTTGTGTAACATACTATAAATACAAACTTAAAAACTAAACAATTGGCTATTCTAGACCAAATTCGTTGCGAATCCAAGGATACTGTGCCGGGCATTCCATGCACGTATAAAAGTAGCGATCCTCCTGTAGCACCCGACTCCGAACTTTGCACACATTAGGCGTTTGGCAGACCAACTCGTGCGACTCCAGCTGTTTGGGCTGACAGCGCCAGGGCTCGAACTGATGCAGATGATTGTTGGGCGTGGGTTGTCGCATCCATTGAATAGCCTGCTGATTGGTAACGAAGTACACATCCGGCAGCTTGTGCATGTCATCCAAAAATTTCTAGAAGATATGTCGTTAACGAAAACATTGAAGCTAATGAGCTGTCTAGGAATCTCACCAGAAAGGCATTTAAATAGTCAATCTTCTTGAACCAGGTGGAGTGGAAGTAAAGCCCATACGGCGCACGATTGCTCAAATAGTGACGCTTAAAGTTATAAGTCAACATGCGGTACACATCATCCCCAGTCAGGTGTGGAGGGCAGCTGTCGACCATGCCGCAAGTGTACTCGCCTGCACCTGCCTCCAGCTGATTCATGACCAGCTCCCAGATGCCGGAATAACTGCGAGTCGGACAATTCTGATTGGCCCCCAAGCAGCTGTGCGGCATTTTAAAGTCCAGCGTGTATGGCCATAGAGGTGGATTCGAGTGCGGTGCCACCATGGAAGCATCGTAGACAAAACCAAACTCCTTCATCATAAGAAACTGACGATTCCAGCCAACGCGCAGGAAAGGCACACGCATGCCACGCAGTTCCTCCATGCGAACGCCCGCAAATTTGTTGATGATGTTCGCCTGGCCTACCATCTCATCGAACCAGTCCTCAATGGTGGCATTCTTTGACCACCACAGCTCCGGCCCGCGATGCCTGGAAATAATCTATTTGAATGGAATCATTAGGAGAAGATTATCTAACCTACGTCACTGAATGCACCGCAATCTCGTGTCCATCATTCCATAGCTTCTGCACATACTGATAATTCGTATACGGATGGGAGACAAAGAAGGTGCCACGAATGGGGCAACCATTTGGATTACGACGATTGGGCGTGAAGAGCACCTTAGAGAACAGCTCCCAGTTGTCGTGGTTGACGGCATCGTCGAAAGTCAGCAATATCATCTGCGGTACAGTATGTGCCTGAAGCTGCCCAGGTATCTGTGTGCCATCCTTCGAGCAGAAGCAATGGGGTAGCTGGCATTTGCGCTGATCACAGGCGCCCGCTGCATTGGGATCATGATCAACATCGCACCAGCCCTCGTCGGAGCCATCAGGGCAATCGACAGAGCCATCACAGAAGTAATCCTGCGGCAGACAAGTGCCATCGGCACAGCCCAGCTGCGACTCGTCCGCGCAGTCAGCCATCTCAAGCAACGGCTTGGGCACTGGCGTCTCCGCGCTTATATCACAATTGTCCACATTCGCTTTGAAATCACAGATTTGGCGCACCACATCGAAGAGCAGTCCCTCGGAGCACTTGAATTCGAAAACCTCGCCATCGAGGCACAGGAAATACTTTGCACACTCGCTGTTCGTCCATATCTTGTGCACCGGTCGATTGGGATTGCGATAGAAGCGTGCATCTTGCATGCAGGCAGCCGTTGAGCTGGATCGTCTATGTCGAGTATGATTGCCGCCTGTGTCGGTCCGCGCCTCGATGTTGGCATTGTCTGCAAAGCAGTTCGTGTGTGAGATAGGCGCATTATCTAATTACCACCAAAAAACTAATTAATACGCTGACCCAAAAACCAAGCGCACGTCCACACATTTCGACGTGTATGTGTGGTGGGGCGGGGCGGTACGGAACGGAGCTTTTGGCCACATTGTTGCAATAATTTTGGCTAGCGTGCAGATCACGCAGCTGCACGAGGGTTTACAATAGAGTCTTTAATTGCCAGCTCCTTTGTTTAAGGGGAAATATGTGCTTATATGTGATATAAACTACATTCGTGACGATTGTAGGCTTTCCAACTGAAGTCCAACAAAACCTAAAAATGAGATTCATGTCATGTTATGGATCCCTAAAGATCATATGTAGAAAAAGTTATATTCTTTATACTCTATGCCTGACAATTGAGTAGTCTGACTCTGAAATCGAAAGATTTCCTAGCGCTTAAAACAAAAGGTGAAATTATATGGAAATTTGACTTACTTATGATATAGATCTAACAGAAATAAATTACGGTACATCTTGCAAGCGGAACTGAAAGTACTTATAAATATTCATTCAAGCGAGCTTTCACTGTAATTGTACATATGCAATATGTTTGTATTGGTTTGCTATATATGTATATGTGCATAAAGTTTCTAAAATGAAAATCTCTTGATTTAATTTCCTTTTCAGATTAATATCGAAGGCGGACTAGACTAGACTATGGACTATGATGATCATCTATTCTATTTTAGTTTATTTTATTATAGATTCTTCTAGAAAAAATAAATCCTATGCAACATTTTGAATTTCTGAAGCTGCCCTATGACAATTGGGGGTCTCTTAGTGCAAATTAAGCTACGCCCCTGTGCGGCGCAACAATTTTGGTGGCAGCAAGTCAATTGCGTTTGCAACACACACACACACACTCATGCAGTTGGCCTGGCGGCATAGCTGGAGCAGATCGTAACTCAAACGATTGGGCAAGCGACGCATGTGTGTAAAATGCAAGATGCGATCTCTAGATTCGATATAGATGTGTGTGTGTGTGTGTGTAATATGCAATATGCGATCTCTTGATACGATATGTATGCATGTACAGAGATGTGTATGTTGTGTGGATTGCGTGTATAGGAATCTCGATGTGCGTGTGTGTATGTGTGTGGGTAGAGTGGCAGCTGCAGCATTTAGAAAGTAACAGTTAAAGCGCTCTTTTATGTATGTTCATATGTACATACATATGTTGCCAAAGCTTTGCCTAAAATGGTGGGGTCAGGAAAATTTTCAGCAACTGTCATTTGGGGTTCAATGGACAGGCCTCCAGTTGATATTATATAACAAAAAACAGATCAACAACTTTCACACCCAATGCGCGCGCTTGCGCATGCCAAAGACAAAAAGGAGGCAACGACAGCAGCAACAACAACAACAGCAGCAGCAACAAGACGCACCCAATCAAAAGTCAGGTAGTAAATTTGTGGATGTTAGGCAAAAGAGAGCGAGAGTGAGAGAGGGAGGGAGAAATTACCGATGCTTGTAACAGTCGCCGCAGTTGCCGTCGACGACGACATAATCACGAAGATGGCCGCGAAGGCAACAACAACAACGAATGCCCACGATTTTTGCATAGCTGTAAATGTGCAGCGCTTATAACGGTTTTGTGAGTGCGCGTCGACCTTGACTGTGAAACTCGTTTGCTTCATTAAATTTTCCCTCCGGCGGAGCAGCATTTTCTGCCAACTTTTAGTCTACTTTACTTTTTCTTTCTCTTTTGCTTTCCTTATTACGAAAATGCGACCGGCGCTTTAAATGATTTCCGAGCTGTAGCGCAGCGTACCGCAGCAGCTGAATACTAAAACAAACTGAAGACTTGGGCGCTGCAGACCGGGCCATATATATCGAGCCGCGGGAGAAAGCTCTCTTTGGCTGGCACTTGAATGTTTTTTCTTCAAATTGCGGCATGTTATCATTTTCAAAATAAATAGTTTGACAGTTTTGCATGTGAAAGCTTAGCTTAGAACTTTGTTTGTTTTAAAAATAATGATTTGTCGGTCGGATAAAATCTACATTTAAATTTATCTTCATAAATGAATTGATCACATTTTCTAAAAGTTTATTATAAATGCAAATTTAATGTTTTTGCAACGCCCTGTATACTAGGTTTGCTGTGAAAATTAGGTAAATTCATAATTCGTTAAATTCAATTACATTTAATCTGACAAGCAATTAAATTTCCACACTAATTGGAAAAAAGTTGCAAATTAATTTAAATTGTGCATTTGAATTGGCAACGCAAAAACGGTCTTTTGTAGACGGCGCTGCCAACTCGTTAGAAAGTCGCTACGTTTTAGTTGTCATAAATGCCGTTAGAGGCGTTACGCAGCGCATGCAACTCTGTCGTAGCGTCATATTTTATTTTAGCGCCAGGAGTTGCGGACTGTGTTAAGGATTTTAAATAAGTTCCTCGCTAAATTGAAAAGAATTTTTGTTGCTAATATGCGACCCAGCCTGGGTACGCCACAAGGGCGCGGCGGCTGTCGCACCAGTGTCGGCGCACGGCTAACCCAACAGCAAATGCTGAAGGCCCAACAAGAGGCAGATGATGCCGCTGCTATGGACGCCTTGGATGATGCGCTCATCTTCGACGACGAGGAGGGGGGCACACGCATTGGAGACATATATATACCGCCGCCAGTGCCACCGCATTGTTCCATGGAGAGCGTCGGCCCGCGCCTGATCATCAAACGTATTGTCAACAACAATTTCAAGAGCTATGCAGGCGAGGTGGAGCTGGGTCCATTTCATCATTCCTTTACAGCAATCATCGGGCCGAACGGCAGTGGCAAGAGCAACGTCATTGACTCCATGATGTTTGTGTTCGGCTGTCGGGCGAATCGCATTCGCTGCAAGAAATTATCCACATTAATTCACAATTCCAAGAACTTTCCAAATCTGACTAGCTGCTCGGTGGCTGTGCATTTCGAGCAGGTGGTGGACAAGCCGGACGGCAAGTGCGAAACTGTTCCCGGCTCACAGTTCTTCGTGCGACGCACAGCTATGTCGGATAACTCGTCCTACTACCAAATCGATAATCAGCGGGCTCAGCTGAAGGATGTGGCTAAGCTGCTGAAGAAGCATCACGTAGATCTCGAGCACAATCGTTTTCTCATACTGCAGGGCGAGGTGGAGTCCATAGCCATGATGAAGACCAAAGGGCAGACGGAGAACGAAACAGGCATGCTGGAGTATCTGGAGGATATCATAGGGACGCAACGCTATATCCGGCCATTGCAGCAGATCAATCAGCGCGTGGATCAGCTAACGGATGATCGCACGGAGAAGCACAATCGCTGCAAGCTGTCTGAGCGTGAAATGAAGGACCTGGAGCAGCCCTACAACGAGGCCGTCGAGTATTTGCGCAAGGAGAACGAATTGGTGCGCACCAAGAACTGGGTCATCCAGAAGTACGTAAGCATCAAGAAGCAGAAGCTGGAGGAGTACATCAAGGAGCACGACGAGTGCAGCCAGGAGATAAAGAGCCACGACGAAGGCACCGAGGCACTCAAGAAGGAGCGCGCTGAAAAGGAGCTGATTATCCGCAAGGAAATGGAGTAAGTGGTAGGATTAGCTTTGGCATTCCTTTATTAATATACTATTCTCCTTATTCCCATATATTTGAAGAGCCTATGAGGCGTTGGTCAAGCAGCGCGAGGACATCAAAAAGAAGCTGGTGGGCGCCGAGCGCAGCTACACGGAAGTCCAGAGCGCCATGGAGAACACGAATAAGCAGCGCAAGAAGGACAAAGCACAAATCGAAAAGAATGAAAAGGAGCTCGAGGAGCTGCACAAGCTGCCAGAGAAGAACGAGCGAGAGATCGAGGAATGCCAGCACAAACTCGAACGCCTGGAAAAGGAGAAGCTGGCGCTCAACGAGGAGCTAGAGAAACAGCTGAAGTTACTCAAAGAGCAATCGGAGCCGCTAACCGAGAAGCGTCTCAAGTTCAGTGACGAGCTGATTGGACTGCAGGAAGCAGTCAATACGGCGCGAGAGGAGGTGCAGGTGCACGAATCGAAGCTAAAGATACTGAAGCAAGTGGAGACCACAGAGGCGCGCAAGTATGAATCCTTAAAGAGCTCCTACGAGGCGGCACAGCAGAGCTTGGAGAGCATGACCAGCAAGCTGGAGGAGCTAAATACAAATATGCCACAGCTGGAGCAGGAGATTCGCACCAAGTCAGCGGAGGTGCAGAAGCTAAGCCATGAGGAGCGCAATTTGGCGATGCAGTGCAGCAAGCTGCGCGAGGAGGTGAAGCCCCACTTGATTTCTATTACTATATATAATTAACAATATTTTATACATTTTTGTTCTTAGATCAATGAGCGCTCATCGAATATGCAAGCTCAGCGCTCGAATGATAAAGTCCTGGACTTCCTGATGCGCATGAAGGCGGAGGGCAAAATACCTGGCATACTGGGACGCCTAGGAGATCTCGGCGGCATCGATGCCAAATATGATATAGCCATATCGACAGCCTGTGGGCGACTGGACAACATTGTGACGGATACGTATGATACGGCCACGGCTGCGATTAAAGCGCTCAAGCAATATAATGTGGGTCGAGCGAACTTTATACCCCTGAATCGCATGGAGCACTGGCGCAGCAAATCCCATCGCATCAACACGTAAGTGAAGGCCGGCTTACAAGCGATTATATAATCCTCAATTGTTATCCTTATCTAGCCCAGAGAACGTGCCGCGCCTTTACGATCTGGTTCAGGTGGAGGACGAGCGCGTTAGGACCGCCTTTTATATGGCATTGCATAACACGCTGGTGGCTACGGATCTGGAGCAGGGCTCGCGCATTGCCTATGGCCGTGAACGCTTCCGTGTGGTCACGCTGCGTGGCGAGATTATCGAGCAAGCGGGCACCATGTCCGGCGGAGGCAACCGACCTGTGCGTGGCAAAATGGGCACACAGGTGCGCACGAAGACAGCCGAGTCCATGGAAAACTCACAAGTGTCGCAGAAGGCGCTGGAGGATATGCAAGTGCAGGCCGAGGAGCTGCAGACGCGCATCAACTACTGCCAGGAGCAGCAAGGCCGGCTGGAGCGTGAGATCCAAATGCTGCAGACGAATTTGCAGCGCAGCGAAACGGAACAGAAGCGTCTAGCGATGAGCATCAAATCGCAAGAGCAGCAAATGGCCAGCAGCCTGAAGCAATGCGAAGCGCAGCGTAAGAAGATGCAAGCTCACACAACGGACGAGGCTGCCGTCAAGAAGCTGGAGGCGCACATCCAGAAGGCCAACGAACAGCTGGAGAAGTGCATCGATAATGAGAAAGCGATGTCAAGTCAGATAACTGAAGTACAGGCCGAATACGATTCTCTGCGCGCAAATACCGTGAAGCCTGTGGAGGCGAAGCTGAAGAAAACCACGGGACAGATAGAGAAGCTGGCGGGAAATGTGCGCTCCTTGAATGTGGCCCTAACCACGGCGGAGCGCAGCATTGAGCGTTTGAAGAACAACAACAACAATTTACGAGAGAATATTAAAACAGCTGAGGACAAGCTGCGGTCCCTCAACGAGGAGCGTCAGCAGTGCCAGGAGCGCAAAGAAGAGCTGGAGGAGGAGGCTAAAAAAGCCGAAGAGGCCATTGGCAATGCCAAATCCCAATCTTCGGATATCAAAAAGCAAATCGATGAGCTCAGCAAGCAGGAGAATCAGCGAAATCTCGCCCGCGTGGAGATTGAGACGAAGCTGCAGGCGGCGGCGGCCAAGATGAACGAGGTCAAGTCGGATATACCGCGTTGGCAGCAGCAGCTGAAGCCGCTCAAGCTCAATGAGATACCAGGAGAAACCAAGCCACTGGCCCCGCTCAAAACACTCACCGAGGAGGAGCTAGAGACCGAGAACCTGGAGGACATGCAGTATAAGCAAACGCTGCTCGAGGAGCAGCTGAAAACGAAACCCAATCTGGGCTTCATCAAGGAGTTCACAGAGAAGCGCAACATCTACCTGGATCGTGTTCGCGTCCTGGAGGACATCACGTCAAAACGTAACGAGATGCGCGACAAGTACGAAGAGGTTCGCAAGCGTCGCTACACCGAGTTCATGGAAGGATTCAACATAATCACGCGCAAGCTCAAGGAAATGTATCGCATGATAACCTTGGGTGGCGACGCGGATCTGGAGTTGGTTGACTCAATGGATCCATTCACAGAGGGCGTACAGTTCACTGTGCGCCCGCCCAAGAAGAGTTGGAAGTATATTTCGAATTTGTCAGGTGGGGAGAAGACGCTCTCCTCCCTCGCCCTGGTCTTTGCGCTGCATTACTATAAGCCCTCGCCTCTGTATTTCATGGACGAGATCGACGCCGCTCTCGACTTTAAGAATGTGTCCATTGTGGGACATTATATAAAGGTAGGAGGAGCTGCCACTCTGTGATTATGGCTGAGTATTAATGTCAACTCTTTATGTCATTCTATTCTCTAGGAGCGCACCAAGAATGCCCAGTTCATCATCGTCTCGCTGCGCGTCAACATGTTTGAGTTGTCCAACTATTTGGTTGGCATCTTCAAAGTGGATGACTGCACGGATTCGGTGACTTTGGTTAATCATCCGCCTGACCCGCTACCGCCGCCCACACAATCGCGTCTGACAGCGAGCCAGCAACAAATAGATGTAAGCCTGGAGACTAGCCAGAATGGCGAGTTGGCGAATGAGTCAGAGCAGCCGGAGCAGCAATCACAATCAGAGCCGCCGGAGCAGTTGCCGCCCACGCAGCCAGACCTTTCGAGAGCTTGTGGCAGAGACACAACCTTTGCGCCCACATTGGAGAGCACGGTGATAACGCAACCAGTGCAGGAGGAAGTGAATGAAGTGGCTCCCAATACCAATACCAGTGAGCTGTCCATGAAGAGTCAGAGTACGCTGACCACCATCAATGCCTAGGAGCCATCTACAAATATACAAAATAAACTTAAATATCTTTACACATAACTTTAATAAACAGTACAAATCATGAATTAATTTCTAAAGGCTAGCCATAATCTTGCTGCAGATGGTGGCCAGAGCTTCGGTTGTGGCATTGTTGATGGCTGTGATGTCTTCGCCAGCATCACAAGCGCGCGTCACTTGCGGATCGAGCGGCAGCGAGCCTAGCAGCGGCACATCCATCTCCTGACACATGGCCGCTGCGCCGCCCGTCTTGGCGGGAAAGATCTCTGAGCTGTTGCCACAGTTGCCGCAACGGAAGCTGCTCATATTTTCGACGACGCCCACAATGGGGATGCGCTGTTTCTTGCAGAAGTTGATCTCCTTGCGCACGTCGAGCAGCGCCACCTCCTGTGGAGTGGTGACAATGATTGCCTTCAGTGAGTCGGGCGCCGAGTCATCCCTGAGATACGAGACCACGGACAGATGCTCATCGGATGTGCCTGGGGGCGTGTCCAGTAACAGCAAATCCAAAGTTCCCCAATCCACTTCGCTTAGGAACTGTCGGATCATGCCATTCTTCTTTGGGCCACGCCATATGATGGCATCATCTACAGAGCCAAGTAGAAAGCCTATGGACATGAGACACACGTTGTCATCGATGCCCACCGGCGACCAGCCAGAGCCAGATTGATGTACATTCTCGCCAAGAGCGCCCAGAAGACGCGGCTGCGACGGTCCACAGATGTCTATATCAAGTACGCCGAAATTACTGTCGGGGTAGCTTCGCGCGAGGTAACGTGTCAGCAGCGTGGTCACCGTGCTTTTGCCCACACCTCCTTTGCCCGAGAGTATCAACAGCTTGTGCTTGACATCTTTCATGGCAGCAGCAACAAGCGCTTTGCCAGGATCTTCCAGCTTTTTGTTCGGATCACTGCATATTCTTTGGTTGGGGCAGCCAGCACAAGCGCTGACCAAACCGGCCTGTTCACTCTCAACGCCGGGACAGTGCTCTGGTGGCGGTGCTTGCATTTTCTTTGAATACAAAATTTGTTGTGAAATTGGTAAACGGAATGTAAATCAAGAGCAGCTGATAAGACAATGTAGACGTATTTCGTGAATGCCAAGCCAAACTGTTCGATCGAGACTTATCGATAAGTGATACACAATCAATGGGCATGTAATTATAAATATTAAAATACCTGTATTTCTATATTCGCATGGTTAAATTAAATTATTTTTTTTTAGTTTATGATAAAAAATCTCTATTGCTTAACTTAACGTTACGATAAAGGGTAAAATGGCAACCAAGCAAGCCTTTACAGCATATGTAAGAAAAACACTAGTTCTTTTGAACGAAACATGGTAAATATCCAAATAAAATAGGAACCCATTAAACAATTTATTATACCAAAAATCCAAATCATTTATTATGCTTCACTATGTGCATTTAAAATGCTTATAATAAGATTAATGGCTACATGATTAAGCGGCAGCATTGTAATCAAGCAGGCTCTTGGAACTAATTTGTTCCAATTGACGAACTCCGGATTTGTCCACAACCGAAACATTAAAGTTCTTCAAGTTAACAATGAGACGCTTCTGGATTTCCAGCACACACTTCTTTAAAACATCGTAGGCCTCCTCCTGTGTGATTTTCGGGTGCCAGTACCGGTCAAAAATGCTGGCGCAGAACATGCTACCGTATCCATGACCGGCATAATTCAAGGATTGGGCAGACGCCAGGTTGTCAATGAAAGTCAGCTCAGGACCCTCAGTGACATCGTAGCTAATATGGGATTATTTTCATTAGCTAATATCATTATAGTCGCATACACCTCTGCTACTCACCCTGCAATAAACATAAACACCTGATAGGGCGTGCGGCTACGGAGACTTTCAGCCAGATTTTTGCGCGTGAAATGTGCCGCTGATTTGGGGCTTAGATCGTAGCCATTGCGCATCTTGTACAAGACAATGTTCTTCGCAATGAACTCTGTAAATTGTTCAGTGTCGCCAGACGCGCCAACCGTCGAGATCAACAAGTTATCCGCAACCTTGTGGATTTTGTTCTCATCTAAAAAATGATGCAAAAACTATTTAAGAACCGGCGGGGCTAAAATACACTGAAAGCCGTCTGTGGCGATTCCTACCTTCTTTCATCACTATCACGGAATTGGCGTGAGTTGTGTCCGCAGCGAGCATGACAAAATCAGGTCCCTTGATGCCCAGAAGAGTTTCCATTTTGAAATAATAATATTTATTTGACTCTTCGACGTTGTTAGGATGACTTGATTAAATTTTTGCCGTAGCTGCTTCTCATCGAAGTGGCGGCAAACCGATTAATAAATATTGATGGCTGATCAAGCAATCGATGTATGGAGTCAATATGGGTATCGATATTGGTTGGGTTAACATTGCTCCTTTATGCGCACGTCTCTATTTTGCGCTAACGACAATTATAAATGGCTCCTCCTGCATTAAGAAGCCGTCTCACTGTTTTCAGATCCTACTATCCTGTATTAATGTGTCCATTTCTTCTTTTTTTTTCAAATAAGTATATGTATACTAAATACACCTCAAGTTGATTACACTTCAAATAATAGTTATATTGGTATTTCAATTAGCTTTCGATTGTGGAGGCTGGCCAATATATTATTAAATACTAGAATCATATTCAGCGATGCTTTTGCATTAGCAACACAGACTTGATATCGATAACACTGGACACAATTAATCATTCTTCTTTACATTTAGTCTCTCCTTCGTATTTTACTTCGTGTCGTCGTCGCTTTTGTGAACAAAAAAATACGAGAAAAAGTTAAAAGCAACGAAATTTTGCTTCAGCATTTTGAGCAAAATTTCAACAAACAAGTGCAGCAAATAGCTAGCAACTCACTGCATACATATTTTTCAATCCCCCTTCGTTAACAAAAGCCGTCAAAATTGAGTCGACAAAGATTGACGAGACTTTTCCTCCATCAACTGCTATGGAGGATAAAGCAACAACAAAAGATCTAGATCAATGGATTGAGCAGTTAAATGAATGCAATCAATTGACAGAAACACAAGTTCGCACTCTCTGCGATAAGGTAAGGAGTTGCCAGTTCGCCCCTATACCACGTAGAAAATGATTTAAAAATAATTTTCATCATCGCTTGTGTGTGCCTCGGCAGTCCAATTTTTGCAAATGGTGTGCGTATTTTTCTCTCGCTCGTGAATCATGATGCGTCGCCATATTGGTAAATTCCAACAGCCAAGCTCCGCTAAGCACGCCGTGCGTGTGAGCAGGATGCCAATAAGCATTGCGTGCATGTGCGACTGCGACGAATCGATGTGCGCCGCCTAGGCGAGAATATTTTCGGCTATTTTCCCCTCTTTTGTACATTTCATTATATAGCATTTGTTTAGTTAATGATAATGGCAAACGTGCGTAATTGTTTTTCAGTTGTACAAAAACATAAATTGCAACGACCCTGCGATTGTTCGACTGACCGCATCTGCGTCATACGTCTTAAGTAAATATTACTTAATGTTTTCTGTGCGTTGGTGTGTGCTCTTAGAATATGTATCTATGTATTCAATATACAAGCGCTCACACACATATACACATACGCACGCACACACACTTGTTCTATCACGAGCGGTGTGTGTCTGTGTGTGTGCGTTGTTTTTTTTTTTTCAACAATATTGAATTCAATTAAACAAATTAATGAAAACCTCACGCGTATAGATATTCACACCAAAGCGCGTCAGTATCAATTATTTTCAATTTGCTGATTTCACTGTAGCCGCAGGCTCAACATCGATATCGAGGGCCTCTAGAAGTGGGGTTATGTTTGCGTCACCCAAATATTTTGTTGTGCCCAATTGTTCTAAACTCTGCTTCTTTACGCATCGTAATGCCAAAAAGACGTTCATAGACTATTCTAGCGGAAGCGGACGCCAGACACACCACACCCGACAAGGCAATATGGCTAAGAGCAAAATAAGAAAAAAAACTGAAATTAAATTGGCTCACATAAATCTGTTGCGTCTCGCACCCGGAAACATATCTTTCACATGTCATTCTTCATTCAACGCAGCAAACAAAATTATGTTTTACACCAAATGCATATTATAAACAAGAAATAGGAACAGTGATAAGCTCGCTAAAGTGTACAATTCCGAGTCTAGTAAAAAATGATGACAAACAAGTCAAAGTACAAACAAACCTTTGAATGAATTCATATTTGTATGAATTCAGCCAAAGAAGTTTATATGATATCTCATATATATACATATGTATATATGTAAACTTATATATCATACATATTGGACCGCATATTTATTTGTGGGGCGAAGCTTGTTAAAGAAATCAAAGACAATTGATATCATGTTTATTTTCGCTTTGTTTAGGGTATTCATAATCGTTAGGCATTTGTTTATTTTTAGGAAAGTGTAGTTTCGGAATATTAGAATAGTATAGAAAACATTGCTAGTCATGTTGACTAACTGCTATTAGCCAAGCTTTTACTGCGTCATGTTACTTTCGTATATCATAAATACTATACATACAATCAGTCCTATCAGCGCTTATCATACCTAATCTTGATTGCACCTATTTCAATTAGGTAGAATACAAAATACAATAATAAAAACAAAATATTAATCAATTTCTATCCACTTGTGTTTAGGCTAAGGAAATCCTTTCAAAGGAATCCAATGTGCAGGAGGTCAAATGCCCCGTCACAGTCTGTGGAGATGTGCACGGCCAGTTTCACGATCTTATGGAACTGTTCAGGATAGGCGGAAAATCTCCCGATACAAATTATTTATTTATGGGCGACTATGTGGATCGTGGATATTATTCTGTAGAAACGGTCACACTGCTCGTATCGCTTAAGGTTCGTTATCGTGAGCGCATTACCATATTGCGCGGCAACCACGAATCAAGGCAGATAACACAGGTGTATGGCTTCTACGATGAATGCCTGCGAAAGTATGGAAATGCGAATGTGTGGAAGTATTTTACCGATTTGTTTGACTACTTGCCCCTAACGGCATTGGTCGATGGCCAAATCTTTTGCCTGCATGGCGGCCTCAGTCCGTCGATTGATAGCTTGGATCATATACGGGCCTTGGATCGTCTGCAGGAGGTGCCCCACGAGGGACCAATGTGCGATTTGCTCTGGTCCGATCCCGATGATAGGGGCGGCTGGGGCATTTCGCCACGTGGAGCGGGCTATACCTTTGGACAGGTAAGTGCTTGAATTACTTGGACTACGTTTCAGTATTTCTAATACATGCATATATACCTATATTCATACAGGATATATCGGAAACGTTCAACAACACAAACGGCCTCACCTTGGTCTCGCGTGCTCATCAGCTGGTGATGGAGGGCTATAACTGGTGTCACGATCGCAACGTTGTCACAATATTCTCGGCGCCCAATTATTGCTATAGATGCGGTAATCAGGCGGCACTCATGGAACTGGATGATTCACTTAAATTTTCATTGTATGTTTATATTATTTTTAGCTATTCAATCTAATCAATAACATTTCTGTTTACTCTTGTCTTCACCCGCACAGCCTACAATTTGATCCCGCACCGAGACGCGGTGAGCCACACGTAACGCGAAGAACACCAGATTATTTCCTTTAAGCTGTTTTTGTGCGCGGCACCAAAATTGCAGCTTACCAACATTTACACATCTTATTACACCGCATTATAACAAAAAAAAAAAAAGCTAAGAAAAAAAAAAAAAAAAATAAAAAAAAAAAAAAAAAAAAACTTAAACAGAAAAACAAAAAAAAGAAGTAAAAGTTGTATCGCAAGCCGTTTTGAGAATTAACAATAAGAAACTCTAAACAAAAACAACAGCAACAAAACAAACTACCAATAATTGTTTCAAACCAGAAAAAAAACAGCAAAAAACAATATCGATGCATTTTATGTATTGTAATACTAACAATTGTTAATGCATACGAATATTGTTAAAGTAAACAATTGGCGGGTGGGGGAGACGAATGAGGGCAAGCGCCGGACGAGTCGATATCATGCTGCGAGGAGCGGCAGCACCAGTAGAAGCCGAAGCGGATAAACAATCCAATCAACCAACAACAGCAAATAACAACAAAAACCACACACACTACAACTACTTAGCGAAATTTGTTAATTTATGAAATAACTAAGTAAGCCTAAAGATGATGGATGGATGGATGGATGGATATTGTATAACACATGAACTTGGCCTGACACCGACTTGGTTGGGGTTTTCTTTCCTTCCTATCCTTTATTATTATTATTATTTTTTGACATTAGACGTACAATTTGGACAGGACACGGCACACACATTAGCAGGACGACAACAACAAGAAGTAGGAGCAGCAGCGAAATCCTTTTGGGCGGGGCAGTCTGAGCGATTGAGCGGAGGGCGATTCAAAGTAAAAAAAAAA